TGTTGATAAAAGTAATAGAAATTAATTTAAATATACTAAGTTTGCAATTATTGTTATAAATTTTACTTATAAACTTTTTATAACAATAATGTTATAAACTAAAGGAAAATAATATTATGTTAAATAATAACTTGTGATATTACTGTAACAAAATTCAAATTATTATAAAACTCAAATTCGTAATATAATTCTGTAATAAAATTTACATAGAGATATTATAAGAAGCACCAAGATAATTCCCTCAATCTATTGTGTTATGCTTATAGAGCCGTAATATATATACATATATATATATTACGTAGTAATAATATATATATATATATATATATATTATTACTACTATTATCTTAAATAAAATTTAAAGGCATTACAAGATTATTCGTTGATACATATTATTTTAAAGTTATTAGTGAATACATGTATATTTAATCTTTTTAATTTACATAAAATATTTACTATTAATAAATAATGTATTGTTAGCATGAATTGCATGTATTATATTTCCTTGAGTTTATATATAAAAAACGGGCGCGCCAAGTGTGCTGCTGCTGGAGATTTCTCCCCATCTTTGATTTTTCTGTCACGTAATTTGCTACTTGTTATCGATGCAAAATCCCTTTTTAATTTCTGCGGCCCTCATTACGCTATCTATTGCATTTTTTTTTATTTATTACGTATACATTGAAAATAATACAACTTGGATTTTATTTGTTTAATTTGATACAATATTTTTTTCGAGGTATATTATTTTTTTTAGTTTTTAATTTAATTACAATAAATATACTTGAAATAATATTTTGATTTCACTTCTTTTTGGTAATATTATATTTTTGATTTATTAAATTAAATTTTTTTTAAATCATGTATACGTTAATACAACTTGGATTCTGTTGGTTTAATTTGATTCAATAGTTTTTTTCGGGGTATATTAATTACAAAATAATTTTGTGTGATTGTTATATATTGAAGATAACGCCACTTAGGTTTTTATATGATTTAACAACAGTTTTTTTTTTGAAGTCATATTATAAATATATTTAAGATAATACAAAGGTCTCATTTTTTTCAATCTGATACAATTTTTTTTCGAGGTAAAACGT